TTGCAGAAATGTTTTATAAGATTCTTTTTATATAATTTTTTTTGTTATTTAATGTGAAATTATTACATTAGTTTTCCCTCTTTTTTTTTTTTTATTTCTCATTAATTTTTCATTTTTTATGCTTGATTGTAAGTCTATGCTATGTGTTATGCATTGATAATAAAAATATAATGTTTTCTTTTGATAAACATCTAACTTATGTTTAATAAATAAAATATACATAAAAATATCTATTTACATAATAGTACAACATACATTTGATAATTTTTGTTTATATTTAAGACTACAGAAAAAATATATATTTAATAATATTGTAAGCGTTAAGAAAACCATATTTTTGCATGTTGAAGAAGAGTAATATAAGAACTTAAGAACTTCATAGAATGTATTCTCTTTTTTCAAAAGTTTATTATAGACAATTTGAATCTTATTAAGTAATACTTTAATTTTTTTCCTTGTAACTGTATTGACGATTTTTCAGTATTCTTTGTATTTTACAAATTGTGCATTATCAGAAAAATAATGATTAATAATTCCTTTATATTTACAAACAATACTATATATTTTATTGTTTTAATGTAATATTCGTATGTAGTGCCATCAACATCTTTATCATGGTCCTTATATAAATTTGGAAAGTGCATTTTTTTCATTTTTATAGGTTTTCTTCATACAATCATAAATATATATTTGGTCTTAATATGATCAGCTACTATCTTTTAGATTTTTTTTATCGCACCCAAAAAGTTATATATATTGCATAGTTTTATATATTTACCATGTAATTGTCAAATTTTTAAAAATAAAAATACATATATCTTAAATTTAGATATACTTAATCATATTATTGTATGTAATGGAAATATTATTTGCATTACTCGTATATTCTTATTGGTATTAATAACTTGATATGATAAAAAAAATATATGTATTGTAAAAGCGCACATGTTAGTTGAAAAAGTATATGGTGAAAATAAAAGAACAAACGAAAGATAATTAGATATTTTAAGAAATGTTAAATAAGTTTAGAAAAACCATATTACGCACTTATAGAAGCTTAAATATACTATTGTGCTTTCAAAAAAATTTTGAGGTTATACTTTTATTGTGATAAAATATATAATTAACAATTGTTTGCATAAAAATACAATAAAAAATAATAAAATATATGTAAAAAAATTAAAAAATGAAATTTAAAAAGAGATAGTAACTAAACACATAGATAGTGTATTGCTCATTTCAGAATAAAGATTTTTTCATTATTCGTAAAAAATTGTAGATTAAAGAAACATATTTTTAATTATTTATATTTTAAATGGCATATCCTATATTTTTACCCATTACAACATAAAAATAAAGTATCATTTTTAAATCAGTAACATATTTATTTTTAATACAATATGATTATACATGGTTATTAGTTTTCATAATTCTAATATTACATACTTTATTTGTTCAGTTAATTTTATAATTACTTACATTCATAAACGTATACAAAATATAATTATTACAATATTAATATAAATTAATAACTATTATCATTTATAATTCTCTATGAAATTCAATAAAATCAATAAAAGCAAATGTTATTTCTTGTACATGTAAGAAATATATACATATGTATGAACACATATATTTTTTATTGTTAAATGCATGGAAATATGTATAAATGAATTTATACGTGAAAAATATATTTAGAGGATACACAATAATTTTACTAATCATAGATTTAATTTATAATAAAAAAAATTGATTTAGGGATTAGTGTTAATTGCTTTCGTTATACATATACTTAATTTTAATAAATACGATTAATTTTTTAATCAACATATTCTAGTATATTTTTAGTATGTATATGTTTTTTTTAATTTTTATATAAAATTGAAATATAACAACAGTAATAGAATTCTATTTTCAGACATTAACTTATATTAATTTTTACAGGAATATTTATTAATAATTTATATAGTATATATGTAAGTATATCCACCCATGTAATTAATAATGGCTGATTTGGTATATAAAGGAAATTAATTAAATTCAAACTTTATATATGTAAACACCATTAAAATAATATAATATGATAACAAAACAAATACTTTTATATACGAATATACATATAGCAGTTATTTTTTTCATCACCCGTAATTTACAGAAAAATATTAATACCCTATTATCTTCCTATATTAATTATGGTAAATTAAATGGTTCTGGTAATTTGGGTATAACGGAAGTATGTAAAAGTGCATTTAAAGAAATAACGGTTATCCAGAATATTAATGACATTTGTATGGACATTACAAGAGCTATGGAATATATGGATTTTGCAACTTTTTATAACTTACCTGATAATAGCGAGTGCACAGTATTTACATTGTGGACATATGATTACCTAATAACAAGGCTTAATGACAATAGTGATTATAGTAAAACAAAAGAAGTTATTGAAATAGCAAACTATAATATATATACGTAGATATTTTTCAATACAATACATCATATATATACTCACTGTAATCTCACGTATTATAACTTATATAAGTGAATCTTATTTAAAAATTTAAATAAATTAAAAAAGACTATTATAATGGTAAATTGTTTATACATATATTATTAATAGTGATTAATTTATTATTCATTTTTGAATTGTATGAGCACATGTTTTATGTTAATATATGTTAAAATTAATATAATCTTTATGAATATTATAATAATTTAGGTATAAATATACTAATTTAAATACATTATTTTTATTGTACATTTACAAAAAAAAAAATTTAACAATTAATAACAGTTACATTTTCTACTATGTGTATTAATCTAATAATATACAAAGCACTACAAAAAAAGGAGAACTGAGATAAAATATTTTTATTAGTACAAATATTTTAGCAATAATATATTTACAACTTATATTATTCTACGCAGAATAATACATATTCATTCCAAAAATATATCTCATATTTTAAGAAAGACATTATATATACTATTATAATTTATCTATTTAAAATTATGATATTTTTATTATACTAAATTATATTGGAAATTATTGTATACATGCAAATAATAGAAAGCACTTTATCACCATATATATATAATTTCCTTAATCAATTATATTTGTTTAAACTTGTAGTCCTTTTATTAGCATATAATTACATTAATCATAATAATTTCATGTTAAATCTTTTATCTTATATAAAAAATGGAAAACCCATAATGGATACTTCATAAATTGCAGTGACATATAAAATTCTAATATTAGTTACCATTTATATGAAACTAGGGATAAAATAAAAATATAAATAAATAGTCCTATAAATATAATAATTAATGTGTGTAATTAAATATAATTTTAACTCACGGATCGCACTTGTCTACTAATATTTATTTTTTTAATTATATATCTAAATTGTGTATACTTCATTATGCACAAGATATTAATATAATTAGTTGTTATTTTACTTTAGTAATAAATTATAATACATATATTCAATATATTAATGTGTATCATTAAGTTACTAATATATATGAGATATCATTATATACTGTATTAACGCTAATATATTTATAATTTAAATATTTGGAGGAATCAATGTTTTGTGAATACCATATAACATAGTATTTATATCGTGACATATTAACTCAGTAATAAATACATAAAAAAATAGAAAATATAAAAATTTTTATCAAATTGAATTCAGTTTTTTTATATATAAATATACATAGATATTTATTTTTTTAAATATTAATAATCATCAGGTATAATAAGCATATAAAAAAATAAAATTATGTAATTATTAAAAGTGTATATGTAAAATAAAATTTATTTAATTTCATTTACATATATTATTATTTAATATGTATATTTTATTGCTAAGTGATATGTATTCATTATAGTGAAAAAGAATATAAGATTTGTTTTGAAGGCTCTAAAATTTTATGCTAGCAGTAAATATTCAAGTTTTTCAAAAAAGCATACATATTTTTTATAGTCCAAATGCTTCTTACATATCCATATTCAATAATATTATATTATTCTTAATTTCTGATTGATATGTATTTTGTTTTATTAATATTTTTATAAATTTAAATGCAGGCAATTTATTTATTCTTTTCTACATGATCTATGTAGTATATTTAAGAAAATGTGCTCTTATATTATTACCAATAATGGTTACAACAATTTCATTAAACAATAATCATAATGCTCCTTTAGTAGTAAAAATAATGTATTAATGATATTATATTGAATTTATAAAATATTTAATGCTAGTATATGACTAAACTAATATATATAATATATTTTCAATTTTCAATTCTTTAATTATTTAATGTTAAAACGTTGTTAATAAAAAAAAAGTTGAAAAATAAATAAAATAAGCTTGAAATAATATTATATTCTGATCTTTTAAAATATTTAATTTTTTTTATTTATATTATATATTAGATTAATTATTAATATTTATTGATGAATAAATATTATAATATTAATAATTATATATATATTTTTCCAATGATTATTGTTACTATATTACATTATTTCTTTTTTTCTATTATAAATTTTTACATTATACTGCATATTATGTCGATTTATTATATATTTTTTATTAAATATATAATTTTATTTCATCTGTTAATTAAACATAATAAATAATTATCACATAAATGCAATGGTATATTCAGAATATTATTATGGCATTAGGTTTTATTTTCACTATTTATATATGCGTATTACTAATAGATAATGAATATATTGTTATATTTATTATTATTTGTACTTTTTTATATGACTCCTAATTATTTTACAATTGCTCGAAATAATTGCAATGTGATATATTATTTATCACATTGAATTACAAATTTAAAAATAAGCCAATACATTAATTTTATCATTTTTAAATATATATATTATTTTTTCTCGGAGTTATAAAATATCATTTCTAATATTTTTACTTTAGTAATAAGCTACATTTAATGCATAAGTTCTTATTATAGCTATATTAGCTGTCTACTGAGGAATACATGAATTGGTAGTTATAATCAGTAATATTTTTGTATGATTTTTCATATGAATTCTTTAGATTTATATATTCTTTATTATCTTTATTCAACAATCTCTTTGATTTTTTTACACTCTTTTGTAATAAAACACAATAAGTTGTATACTAATAATAAGGTTGGAATATAATATTTTTATAGATAAGCTATTTATTTGATATAAATTATTCAAAATATTATAAATTTATATAAAGCATAATTAAAATGTATTATATTTATTTTTACCTTATACAATATGAATGAAATTGTAAGAATTACTGGCATTAAAACAATTGTGCTTGTGCTTATTCCATTCACTGATCCTGTGCTAATGTCTTCACTTTTCAGTTTATGTTGGCTTGCTTCAGGTAGTTTAATTATCCCTATGAATGGACGTACTTCTGGTTTTAACGCTTTGCTTGAGCTTCCGAATTCTGTTATTTTTAGCTCTGTTTCTGCATCTGTTTCTGTCATAGAATTGTGATGTAATGTATCATGTTTAACATCTATAGGAACAACCGTTTTGGGGCACAACTTTTCATATTCAGCTTCAATAATTTTTAGTAATTTTTTAAAATTTTCTCCATCCTTATATTCACAAGATTTTAATGTGTTTATATATCCGTCACAACTTACACGTTCACTGTTATGGCATATCCTACCACTATTTTTAATTTTATAAATGTAGTTATATAGATGGTCCAGAATATCGAACACTCCATATGCTTTAACATCTAAATTATTAAAATGATTACTGCAATTATAAGATTTCGATTTTAAATATAATTCTTTTTCTAAATGGGTTTTCATATTATTGAAGCATAAACTCACAGATTCGCAATTAAGTTTTTTATAATTTTTCTCTAGAAGTAGCTTGTAAAATAAATATTTACAACTTCGTTTTTTTTCAATACTGGAATTATAATTTATGTGATACAGATATTTACCAAGTTCTAGGCAATCTGCATTCAAACTTGTCCATGGTTTTGAGCCTGCAACTTGTACACAAAAACCTCGACACCCGTGTCCCAAACGGGAAGTATAAAAATTATCATATCTCCTTTTAGCATCATTGTATTCTTCATTACATTGGGGAAATATATCAGTATAATCAAACTGAAAACAGAAGTCATTATATATACGAAAATTTAAAATAATAAATTTAAGAAAATGTTTTTTGCTTAAATATAAAAAATATAAAAATTTAAAAATTTTTGTAATGAATATTGTAAATTTATAACAATTAGAAATATACGTCTCGAACTTCTGATGAATAAGATTCTGTGCCGCTCATTGTGTTTTTTATAAGTAAATTAATAAAAAAAACATTATTATATTGCAAATAAATAATTTTATTATATATTTATACCACGTTTATTTATTTTCACAGTTTATAAAATTTAAAATATATATCTATTTAATTCTGTTTATACAAAAAATTATGAAGAAACATTTTGTTCTAATTAAGGAAAATTTTTTTTTTATATATGTGCATTATATGAGGAATATATTTTCATCGTGTGAATTACATATATTAATATTAAATAATGCAAAAGATACAAAATAATATTTCTGTATATACAACAGTATTATATTAAAAAAATTAATATAGCTATACTATTATGCTAAAATGAATAAAAATATGTAATAATTCTGTACTATAATATTCATTTAATTACTATTATTTCCTTACAATATTTGATATAATGCATATGGTGAGGAGATGCCTATGCTTACAGTTTATATATAGAGTTAGGAAATTTTTTTACTCTTGTGTAAAGAAGGATAGATGATTAACAAATGAATATGTCCAGCTTACGATAATTGTATTTATTTTAATCAAAAGTACATATTAATGATTTAACATTATATAAAATTTAAAATAAATATGTATTTCAAATAATATTATATGATAATCGTAATACATGTATTTACTAAATTTGAACATATATATATATATATATATTAATCCTATTATATGGTATGATATACGCATATTAATTATATACTGCTTATAAGAATTATCACTCGTGTATACAATAAAAACTAGAATTATCATATATACATATATTTTACATATGTAATCATTGTAATTATAATATTATATAATTTACTGATCCATTTGTATCCGAAATTTAACAAAAATAAAGGTTTTAATGAGTTTGTATCATTATTGTAATGATATATTGTATATATATACTTTTACTAGCATATATGTAAAATAAATTTCTATTTTATAATATTCATATATATTTTTACTTTTGTGCATTTTTACAATTAAAAATTAACAAATCACTTTTATCAAATGACAAATAATTAATGTGAAATATATTTTCACCGAGACTATATATAGCATTACACTAATTAAAATACATATAAACATTAAAATTGATTTTTTATTTTAAGCACATAAAATATAAAAAATATTATATCTGTATTACTTATTTATTATTTTAACTGAATTTTTTATTTAGTACATATAACTGAATAATGAATTTATATATTTCATATATAAAACATATATAAAGTAACTATAGTTCACATTAAAACTTACTTTTATTAATTTTTTTCCCTTGTGAAAAAAATATTATTTTTCTTATTAAAATTTGAGAAAATAATTAAATTATATCAAGGACAAAATGGAATGAGCTAATTTCTCCATTATATATATAAAAACCAACAGATGTAATTTATAAATAAAGACAAATAATTTTCAATGTATATATAACTCAATTTATTATAGATAATTTTTTTTGTTAAATTTTGTATTTTCTATGTTTTTTATATATGTTCGGTTTGTAATAATACATTGTAAAATAATTTTTCTTATTATTATTGTTCTCTCTACAAGAAATTTATCGAGGAAAAAAAATTAACAATTATTTAAATTAAAATATTACTACATTATTGGAATATTATGCATATAAAAAGAAAATATATATATATATATATTAAACGGAATTAATTTTTATATTGATCTATAATTAGAACTAAAATATAATTCATTTACCTAATTATCTATATTATATATTATTTTTTTTCTAAATTGTGTACTAAATTATATGTTATTGAAAAAAAAAAAATAGTTATAAAATCGTCTTGAAAAATGAAAAAATATATATATATACATATAACGAAAATTTTATATCATAAGTAAATAAATATATATTTTTTAATATTACATAATATTATTTATATGTATACTTTATAGACTATTATATATCTATTGCAAAGCAAAATTATTGCATTAACATAATGACAATAATTTCAAGTAAGAAGAAAAGATCATAAATACAACAGTTATTCTTGTATAAGTTTAGATAAACTGTAGAGTTCAATGAGAAAATTTTGATGAGTTTTATATTATAATTCTTTTTCCTTTTATTTAGATAGAGGTAAAGGAATAATAAAATTAATAATGTAATGTATAAAAAAATTTTATAATCATTATGTTTATCCGCACAATAAAATAAATTTTACATAATAATCAAAATAATTGCACATATTAAATAACATATAGGTAGAATTATATAAAAAATCAAATAAAGTATTTCATATACTCAGAGATTGTATTGATTTTACAATAATAAATAATAGTAGTATATCCTATTAGGATTGGTACTTCTTGGTATTTGACTTATATAAAAATATAATTAAGCATAGTATATAACAATATTATATTAAATCAAGTATCAATTGATACATAAACAATGTATATATATTTACATTATGAATCAAAAGTACAGTTATAATTAGTATATAATTAAATTTTAAATATTACTATTAAAATTCGTACGTTATTATTAATTCTTTTTCTTGGAATTTCAAAAATCATTCCCATTTTTCATCAATATATTTAGAGGAGAATTTTTCATATATGATTCATACAACACTGACTACGTTGTTTAAATTAGTTCGTTTTTCCCTATTTTACGTATAAAGCAAAAATTAAGGAGAATTATATATTATATTGTCCTTCTTTTTTGCATATATATTGCTGAAATTTTCAAAATTACTCAATATTTTTATTCCTTATCTATTTTATTCCAATAAATTTCTTTTCTAATTATTTAAGGAAGCAAAAAAATGATATAAATTTTTTGATATAATACATAATAAAAACAAATTATATATTATAAATATAAATTTTATTTGTTAATCAATTTATACATCTAAATCATTTTCGAAAATAGTTTTATATTATAAATACATAGTAAAAATATTCATAATTAATCTCAAATATAATAAATGAAAAAAGGATATTAATAGTATTAGAAAAATTGTAATTAGTGTATTAGGGGAAATATGACATTGAAAATTGCTCAGTACTTGTATCTAACCGGATATACCAATTCCATTAGTTGCATGCACTTATATTTCATTTTTTTCATTATATTCATCTATTAAACCATTTAACATTTCATAAAATTTAGAATTATTATGATAATATCATCTACCACATTTATATACTTATATTTTTTATGCACATAATATGTGGATTGAATGTAGGAAATCTATATCTATTACACCGTCCTTATAATTTCTGCATATTTTATTAATAAGTGTGAGGAAATAATTTTTAAATATATTTATATAGACGTCACAATTATTTTGAATTTCCTTAGTATCAATAATTTCTTTAAGTTTACGTAATATACAATATTGGATGAATTTACAAACAGATTGTTTTATATTTCTATCTTTTATTGATATAATATCAGAGTAATATTACCTAGTTAGAATATATATTTCTTTTTTATTTACTTTCTACACATTATGAGATCATAAGTTATAATTTTGGACATCTTTATCCCCATAGATGTCTTGCATTAATACCCCCATATTTATCTATATTTTGTTTAAATATCAAAAACTGGTGTATAAAATTATTATATATGAAAAAGAAAAATTAGTGTATATAAAACTCAATAATTTATTTACATATTTCAATATTTATGAAAATAATATAGATAAGTATAATAATGTTATTTTTTACGCTAAACTATTATACTTCTATATTCATTACCACAATTTTTAATAAGATTATCTTTATACTCCATCAATAAAATAATGAAGTTTATATACATAGGAAAAAATATTTAAGTAGAAAAAAGCTCATTTAAAAATCATTATTTTCATTATGTATATAATTAATGTAATCATATCATCGCTACAGTAAAACTTTAATTTAATAAAGTATAAATATAAAAAAAATTATACTTCTAGTATCATATATATACTTAATTACAACAACTGAAGAAATAAAATAAAAATATATAATATAAATTTATATAATAATCATTTTTATTATATTAAATGTGTCTTGTTACATTACAAAAATATTATTGTTTGAATACACATAAATATAAAAAATTTAATACAATAATACACTATTAATGTGAGCATCTGAAAAATTACACGTTTTATACTCTTATTTGTAATTTTCATAGAATTATTAAAAATTAAATATAAATAACATAAAATAGTAGAATACATACATTCTGGAATCATGAATTAATAATCTCATTCTTCATAATAAATGATTATTGACACATATTAGTATATATTAATGTTGTTTAAATGAATTATATAAAAATATACTATATTTCATATTTTATTGAATTATTCATCTATTAAAATTAAAATAAGTACATAGTAGTAATTAAATTTAAAATATAAGTGCTTATATGCATTTATAATATTGTTATATTTATAGTTAACATATATTATAACAACATAGATTTTATTATAAGATGTGGAATGATACAAAAGTAGATAATACTCATTATTAAATTAATTTATTTTTAATAAAAACACAATAATTGTTATTCTTGATATTATTCTCACAAGCATGCTTCATTGTTGATTTTTTTTTATTTCTTTGAAAAACTGTTAAAAATAAAATTGTAGTAATAATACAGTTTTTAATAATTAATAAATTTAATAAATATAATGAACTCATTATATTATCTCATTTCAATTTTATTTTAGAATTGTTATTTTTTATATTCTCAAATTTATATTTTAATTCTTTATGTTTTATTCATATAATTTTTATTCAAACTGAATTTACTTAATATTAAAAAAGAATTATTTCTAATTTAAAATATCACAATAAATACAATGTATATACCATTGCATAAAAAAAATAGCTATTATAAACTGAATGCACCTTCCTTTATATAAAAAATAATAAGTATTCTATTCTTTAATAATGTATTTCATTTATCCTATATTTATATATTTCTTTGTATTCGGTAATATACATTACTATAAAAATTATAACAAATAATC